GTATTCTGTAACTGTGAGCTCCTGTGTTTCTCTTTACAAAAAAATAACTCAGTGCTATTTTCTCCTTTCTACTGTGTTTTCTAATGTTGTAATCACAGGAGGAGTTTTGAAATCAGGTTTATGAAGTGGAGTTTCTCTCTTTTCACAATCAGTTCAATGAGGGGTGCAGAATTCATTGAGTCTCACAGTACTCAAATGTTTGACAATTATGCACCTAGACCACTCTAGGCAGTGGGTAAAGGCTGAGCAGTAAAATAAGAAAGTAAGGTTGAAGAAAGGAAAGTAGAAAGCAGAAAGAAGAAAAAGCAAAGAAAAAAGAAGAAAACTAAAATAGCAGTAAAAAGCAGAAAACTAGTTGCAAAATACAATTAAGTTTTAAATGAAAGCTGCCCAGCACACTCATGTGCCACATGAATAGGGCAGGAGAGGCAGAGATGGTGATGCCGGAAACTGTTCTGTCCTATGTGAGGGAAGGAGAGACAAATTAGCAAGAGAAAGACACAAAGGGAAGGAAAGCTGCTTTGGTAATTTTTAAAAATAAAGTTAGAAAAGAGAAAATGACAGGATAGAGAGCGATTATTACCTACCTTACTAATGCCTATGGTCTGGAAGTGGGGAGACCCAAGGTGGGGACTTCACAGCAGTGAAGATAGACCCAGAGAAGAGCAGAAGAGGCAGAGATGGAGATGCCTGAAACTGTTCTGTCCTATGTGAGTGAAAGAGAGACAAATTAGCAAGAGAAAGACACAGGGGGAATAAAAACCATTTCTAAAAAAATAAAAGTTAGAAAAGACAGAAAATAACAGGGTAGAGAGGGATTTTTACCTACATTACTAATGTCTATGGTCTGGAAGTGGAAGGGCAGACTGGGGGCTTCACAGCATTGAAGGTGGACCCAGGGAAGGGCAGAAGAGGCAGAGATGGAGATGCCTGAAACTGTTCTGTCCTTACTAATGTCTATGATCTAGAAGTGGGGGGATCCAGGCTGGGGGGTTCACAGCAGTGGAGGTGGACCCAGGGAAGGGCAGTAGAGGCTGTTGGCTTTCTTGAGATAGACCTTAGTTCCTTAGCTTTCTAGTCATATCTTCAGAAATGACATTCCAGTCAAAGCCCTAGAAATAACCAGTATTTCAAATATCTGGTACAAGGCAATGGATATTATTAAACTTATGAAAATACGTTCTGCCACAAAATAAGAATACCCACAAATATTCCCTAATTCCAGAGAAGTCAGGAAGAAAATTTTGTGTTTCAATTTCAAAAAAAAAAAAAAGATCAGCAAATTGCTGAACCTATCAGCATCTCAAAAGAAGATTAAAAAATTCTTAAATCTGGAAAATAAAACATAGAAAATCAGTAATGTTTAAATCAATAGTCATAAAATTTATTTCTGCTGTACTGACTCATGTAATTAACCTGTATTCTGTTAAATTTACAGAGTTACTGGAGTCCGATCTTTCCATTTAAATTCTGGAAGTTAATATTGAACGTTATTATGGATCTTGTCCCTACCATTAAGTTGGCCATTTTCTTGGTTGTTGTTTGTTCTTTTATTTCTGTGTGTCTGTCTTTTGCTTTCCTGGTATAGCACACCCCTCAGAACTTGAAGAGCTGGTTTGGTGTTAGTAAATTCTTTTAAGTTTTGTTTATCTGAGAATGTTTTTACCTTTTCTTTCCATATAAAGGATAATCTTGCCAGGTATAGTATTCTTGGATGAAACTGTATCTCACTTAACACTTTGAATACATTTCCTATTCTTTCCTTGCTTGCATTGTTTCTGACGAGAGGTTCTGTGCTAGCCTGATGGGATAACCTTTGTACATGACTTGACGTTTCTCTCTTGCCAATTTTAGTATCTTGTCTTTATGATTTTGACAAAACTGGCTATGATGTGCCTTGGAGAAGATCTTCTTGGGTTGATTCTATTTGGGATCCTTTGCATTTCCTGGAAGTGGGTAATTGAATGCCTCTCTAGGTTTAGAAAGTTTTCTTCCAGGATTTCATAGAATAGATTATCAATTCCCTTATTAATTTCTTCACCTTCTGGTATACAGATTATCCTGATGTTTGGGTGTTTAATTGTATTTAGTATTTCTTGTAAATGATTATTTTTTGGGGTTATTTTCTCAGTCGTTTTGGTGATTTTTTTAAAGGTCAGAGTTTTTATATTCTACATCTGAGATTTGACTTTCTGCATTATCTAATCTACTTTTTTTTCTTTGCAAGTAACTTTTATTTTTATTTACAACAGCATTGGTAACTTTATTCCTCCATCTTTAGGGGTATTTGACATCAGCAACCAGATGGAACGTCCGCAGTGAAGTCAAACTCATTCTGCCCCAGCCACAGCTCTGGAAGCTCATTGGCTTGGTCCAGTCCCAGTTCCACCACCAGCGGCATCAGCACCTCCTCATCCACTGGGTCTGAATCGATGATAGCAGGGCTCTGGGCACTGGCAGGAGGAAAGAGGGACCCTGCCCCTCCTGCCTGAGCCCCAAGGCCCCAGTTTTGCAGGGGCCCTGCCTCCCCAGGTGGGCCTGGAGTGGTGGCAGCCATCTCATGATACTGGCTATTAAGTTTCTGCAGCTTCATGCTGGCCAACAAGTGAGGGGCAGGGTGCAGGTTGAAGGGGGGGGCTTTACTTGGAGGGGTGGCAGTAGGAGAGACTATTGGAGATGGAGATCCTGAGGAACTAATGAGAGCACCACTGGCCTTGGTTCCATTTGCGGCTATCCCAGGGTAGTGCAGAATGGCCACTGCTTTGCGATCTTTCATGCCCAGGTTAGAGTAAGCCAGCGAGCTCAGCTCTTGGTTGGCATCCTCCTTCACAGGTGAGGTGCCACCTTTGACATCAAGTGCAGGCCTTGACATAGTTGGCATTTCAGATCCTTGGCAGAAGGTGGATAAATTGGTGGGAGGTGGTGCTGCCAGCTGGAGCTGCGATGCCAAGGTCACAACACTAGAAAGTGGTGGCGCTGGGATTCGCAGCCAGGTCTGCCTCCAGGTCCAGCCCTCCTCCAGGCAAGGGGTCCGCCTCTAATCTACTTTTAATACATTCACGGGAGGTTTTAATTTCCTGTATTACACCCTTCATCTCTAACAGTTTGGTTTGATTCCTTTTTATGATGTGTATTTCTTCTTTCAAAACATGGAAGAACTTCCTCATCACCTGAAACTCATTGTCCCATTTCTTTTCCATCTTCTGGAGTTCATTGTCTCTCTCTTCTTGCATCTCTGTTAGTTGAGTCACTATGAATATTCTGAAACCTTTATCTGACATAATCATGAGTTCTATTGAACCTATCTGTGGATGGTGAGGATTATTCCTTTCCCTTAGGAGAGAGATATTTCCTTGGTTTCTCATATTTCTTGTGCTTCTGCTTTAGTTTCTGGTCATCTGATGGATTAGACATTTCTTATTTTCTTGGTGTTAAATCTGAGCGTTCAGAGGCATGCAGGAGGAGGTGATCTGCAATTTCTCTGCAGTTCCACTTCCCTGACACTCACCAAGCAGCCAAGCAACCTGCAAAACTGTACTTTTGTTGATAGAACTGCATATTACAAAGGCCTCCTTGTTTCTGGAGAACAGGTGCACCTGGGCTGAGCTGCAGGGTTTCTTTCTTTTTTATTTTTAATTTTTAAGTGGTTTTTGTTATAGGATGCGTGCACTTGCCAGAAAGACAGAGAGAGACAGAAAGACAGAAAGTGAGAAATCATCCCCCATGGGGGATGGTCACACTGCAATCCCTTCTCCTCCATTCTCCTCTTGAGATCTTGGGCATGCACACACATGTGCCTGGCATGAGTTTAAGCCACTGGATCTGGGACTTGAACCATGGTTGACTACATGGGAGTCCAGCAGCATAGATATTATGCCAACTTCTGGTCCCAAGCTGCGGGGTTTCAACTGATAGTTCACAGGCATGCAGGAGATGAGCTGTGCTCTCTTTGCAGCTCTGTCCTTCTACCTGCTGCTCACTCTGCAGTCTCTCTTCTCTGATTCTTAATCATTCGGTGGTGTATTCACATTTGGCTAATATTTTTGGAAATTTCTGCAACTGTAAGCTCGTGGGCTTCTCTATAGTGTGAGGTACTTATGTGCCAATTTCTCTGCTCTACTGTGTGTTTTTCAACATGAAATCTATGGAAATATATTTTAGTTCAGATTTATGAAGAGTAATTTCTCCCTTTGTACAGCTCTGAACTAGCAAAATTCAGAGGTTTGGCTACCGTGCTCATAAACCTATCTGTACACTCTCTGGGTGGAAGCTGAGCAACAAAATGAGAAAAAGTAAGGTAAGAGGAAGAGAGAATACAAACATAAAAAAGAAAAAAAGTAAAAAAGAAAACACAAGAGACAAAAAAATAAAATAAACTGCATGTGGTGTGTGAAATGAGCAGAGCATCTTAGATGTGATGTCTCCCTGCAATGCCCTTTCTAGCTATGGGCCAGGAAGGTAAGTTGCAAGAGGTGTCTGCAACTCAATGCTGCTCAGCCCTCATGTTGGTATCAGAAATAAGCAGAGCACCTCAGATGTGATGTCTCTCTACAGTGTCCCTGTCCTTTCTAGCTATAAGCCAGGGAGATGAGTTGGGGGGGTTGCAACTCAGGGCTGCTCAGCCCTCACATTGGTACAAGAAATGAGCAAAACACCTTAGATGTGATGTCTCCCTGCGATGCCTCTGTCCTGAAAAAGTTAAACTGGAGGCTGGCTTTCTCACTTTCCCAGTCCCTTCTCTCTCAGTCTCTCTCTGGTGAACACATGTGCCCTATCACAAATTAAAATAATAATGATGATAAATAAAAGTAAATAAATTTAAAAAGAGAATGTGTTATATACACACAGTACATTATTCAGTATCTAAAAAGAAAGTAATCCTGTTACTTGAGGCAACATTGATGACCCAAGAGAACACAAATCTAAGTAAGATAAGCCAGTCACAGGATGAATACTGCATGACTCCACTTATATGAGGCACCTAATATAGTCAATCTCATAGAAACAGAGAAGTAAAACAGTAGTAACCAGGGACTGATGGACAGGAAAAAGAAAGTTGTTCAATTGGCATAAAGTTTCTGTTATGCAAGGTCAACTAGTTCTAAAGATCTACTCTGCAGTATAGTGCCTACAGCAAACAATACCATTTTGTGGACTTAAAATTTTACTAAGAGGAGCTACAAAGAAAATAAGATACTTAGGAATAAATTTAACCAAGGAGGTAAAACATCTCTATAATAAAAGCTATTTAAAAAATTTATTAAAGAAATTGAAGAAGATACAAACATACACACAAAAATGGGAAGACATTCCATGTTCCTCAGTAAGGAGTATCAATATTGTTAAAATGTCCATATTACCAAAAATGACCTAGAGTGTCAACCTTTCAAAATATCAATGACACTATTCACACAAATAGAAAAAATTTATAAAATTTGTATATGGAATTACAAAAGACCCCAAATAGTCAATGCAATCCTGAGAGAGAGAAAAAAATAGAGCTGGAGGTGTCACACTAATATAATACAGAATATACTATAAAGCTAGAGTAACTAAACGATCATTGTACTAGAAAAAATAAACAAACAAGTAAACAAACAAACAAAAAGACATCTAAACCAATGAAACAAAACAGAGAACCCAGGAATAAATCCATATGTATCTAGTCAGCTAACAAAGATGCCAAGAACATCCAATGGAGAAAAGACAGTCTCTTCAATAAATGATTCTGGCAAAACTAGACATCTATTTGTGGAAGAATAAAATGAGACTCTTATCTCTCACCATACAAAACAAACTCAAAAATGGATTAAGGACTTAAGCATAAAACCTAAAACTGAAAATACTGGAAGAGACAAAGGGGACATTAGTCTGGGCAAAGTTTCTAAATAAAATATCAAATGCACAGGCAAATTAGCAAATGGGGTTATGTCAAACTAAAAAGCTTCTGTACATCAAAGAATCAATAAACAGAGTGAAAAGACAACCCACAGGGTAGGAGAAAATATTGGAGGACTATACATCAACAAAGGATTAACAACCAGAATATACAAGAAACTTTAAAAATGCAGAAGCAATCATTCAATCTATCAATAAGAAATGACCTGAATAAACAGTTCTCAAAAGAAGAGGACTGGCACCATGGCCTGGTGGTTAAGAGTCAAATTGCACATAGTCAGTGGTTTGAATCTCAGTCCCAGCATATTAGAAAACATCCCAGGGACCAGCAGATGGCATAATGGTTACATTATTGGACTCCCACATAGTCGACTGCAGTTGAAGTCTCAGTGGCTTGTAACTCATGCTAGATGTGTGTGCCCAACATCCTGAGAGGAGAATGGAGGAGAAGAGATTGCAGTGTGGTCATAACCCACCCCCTGGGGATGTGTGATTTCTTGCTTTCTGTCTCTCCAGAAAGTGCACGTGAAAAAAAAAAAGAAAGAAAAAGAAAGAAAGAAAGAAAGAAAGAAAGAAAGAAAGAAAGAAAGAAAGAGAAAGAAAGAAAGAGAAAGAAAGAAAGAAAGAAAGAAAGAAAGAAAGAAAGAAAGAAAGAAAGAAAGAAAGAAAGAAAGGAAGGAAAAGAAAAAGAAAAAGAAAACATGCCAGACCCAGACCCATGTGCTGGCATGCTCAATCCCAACAGGATATAGAAATGGAAGAGAAAGAATTGTGGCACAAACATGACCCATTGAGGGATGCTATCTCCCTCTTTCACTGTCTGTCTCTCTCAAGCACATGTGCCCTCTGGGGGTAGGGACAACATTCAAATGGCCATTGAGCATATGAAAAAATATTTCAACACCGGTAATCATTAGGAAAATGTAATCAAATCACAATGAGATATCATCTCACCCCAATTATTACAGAATGACTGCTATCAAAAAGAAAAAATAGCAACTACTGGTGAGGATGCACATAAAGAACTCTTACACTGGTAGTATAAATGTAAGTTAGTACAGTTATTAAGAAAAACAGTATGAAGGTTTCTCAAAAAAATAAAAATAGAACTACCATGTAATCCAGTAATCCCACTACTAGGCATATATTCAAAGGAAAGAAATAAGTATATTATAAAATATCTACATCCCAATACTTATTGCAGCACTATTCACAGTAGCTAAGATAGGAAATCACCTAAGTGTCCATCAAGAAACAAATGGAGGGACCAGCAGTTAGCATATGGCTATGTTGCTGGACTCCCATGTAGTCGACCATGGTTTGAGTCCCAGACCCAGTGGCTTAAACTCATGCTGGGCATGTGTGCATGTGTGCCCAAGAACCCGAGAAGAGAATGGAGGAGAAGGGATTGCGGCATGGCCATCCCCCCTGGGGGGTGATTTCTAGCTTTTCTAGCTTTCTGTCTCTCTGTCTTTCTGGCAAGCACATGCGCCCTATAGCAAAAACCTCTTCAAAAAAAAAAAAAAAAGAAAAAAAAAAGAAAAAAATGGATAAAGAAAATGTATGTATCTATATATACAATGAAATATATCCAACTTTTAAAAAGAATAAAATCCTAT